GGACTAAAAGAATCGTATCGAGTAGTTAAAATAACTATATAAAGAGATCGAACGCGCTAAAGCCGTAACGATAATAAAGGCCCCCGAGGGCGTAGCAGATCCGAGAGATATAGATCCGATTAAGCAGATCCGGTTAATTAGAATCGAGGAACTAATTAAGATAGAGTTAAATTCAACGGTTAAAGAGGGCGGATTTATATCCCTTTAACGAGGGCGTTTTCCCTTAACTATTAATTTTAAGATAGAAAAGTTAAGAACTTTTGATTTAAACCGAAGCCTCTAATTAGTTAGTTAATCTAGGGAAGACCCACCTTAACTAAGGGGGTATATCGTATAGGCATACGGACCACGACGTGGTCCCTATGGGATCTATGCCTGACTAAGGGCTTCGGATCTCGGGGACCTCGGGTATCAGGATATAATAAGGGAGGATACCGGAAAAGACCGGATAGGATCCAAATAATACAGTACCTATAATAGAGTCTTTACTATTTAAATTAAGGGAATAAGAGACTTATATAGATATAATTTAATATAATACACACACACGAGATTTCTACTGTATTAAGTTAATTATACAAGTGCTATTTTGGCGTGCGATAAACACCTGCTATAACTACTAACTAAGCCGGCGGCGCTAAATTAATCCTATATATATAACGCCTATAACGCCTAAGTAATCCTGTAATCGTAATCTTTAATTAATCCCTTTTATCGTAAAGATCGTAAATAGTAAAAACGGCGTTTTTATATTGATTAATTAACTAGTCTACTACTATTATAGCTCGTATTATAGCCGCTTAATCCGTTTATCTATACTAGAATAACTAGATATCCTATCGGAAGTCTTTAGTATACGATTCTCTGCCTATATCTTATTCTATTTATTTTATATTATAGATTATTCTGTATCTTATTCTTTATCTTTATCTTATCTCATATCCATATCTTATATTATATCTTATATCTTATCTTTTATATTTATCTTATTTTATATCTTTATCCTATCTTATATCTAAACTTTATCTTCATATTTTCTACATCCTTTTCTATATTATTCTTATTCTATGTAGATTTCTTTTATTCTATTCTGTTTATCCTATAAGGAAGTAGTAAAGACGGCGCGGTACATTGTTACACAGTGTAGTCGTTAGATTTGCTCGCGATTTACACTGTCTTTATTACTATATATACCTAAAAACGGACTAAAACACATATATAACAAAGTAGACAGGAATACTGGTAGGATAGCCTATATACTATAGGAGGAAGTCGCCTGTAAAATACTGTAAAAAGCCGAAAAAGGTGCCTGGGCGGTAGTATCGGTACAAAAAGCAGGCTGCCAAGAAGTGCCGGACTTTAAAGCGGGCCAGCATTAGTGCATACTTAGATACCTTATTAAGCTCCTTTTATTACGCATTATAGTCGCCCTTTTCCTCACGATATACACAGCGATCTTATAGGTAACGCGTGCGTTCCTTCTCGGAGAGGTCGCTACTAGACATAGGGATAATCTTAATCAGTAGTTCCTTCGTTATAGTCGTAGTCTTCTTATGCGCGAGCGTCTTCTTCTTTATACCGGCGGCAGTGGTAGTAGCGGTAGTAGCGGTAGTAGTAGTAGCATCGGCCGTGATAGGGTTTTAGCGTAAGGGATTAGTAGTGTTATCGTCCTTTACTGTGATAATACAGAACGAAGTAGCCTCCTCAGCCTCGAGGTCGACGATAAGGGCTTTATATTTACGAATATTAGGCGGCGTAGGCTTAAGTAATAGATAGACGTTTACCTCCTCGTCGCTAATATTTAGACTAAGATAGTTATCCTAGTAGATAGTAGATTTACTGCGTATCGCGCACTCCTACGGTACCTAATCCCTCTAATTAATAAGGGTAGTAGCAGCCTTTTAGTCGGCGTTAGATACGTTAAAAGATATCTTTACTTATCTATAGATTAATTAATTAATAGATTAGTAGGTTAACTAATAGCTTAATTACTCTAATTAGGTTAATAGTAGTTATTTAAGAGTGCTTAAAATCGTGATTGCTTTTTGAAGTAGTAGTATAGGGGAGCCTATTAATATCTATTGTTTAGGTGTTATAAACCGGGCTTATAATTATTATCTCTTATATAGCACTTATATAGTAATTGTAATTAAACAGAAATCATATATACATATATTATATTAACTTATATCTATATAAGTCTCTTATGCCCTTAATTTAGATGGTGGAGACTCTGTTTTAGATACTATATTATTTAGATTCTATCCAGTCTTTCTCGATATCCACCCTTGTTATATCCTAATACCCGAGGTCAGGCATGGATTCCCTAGGGACCCTGTTATGGTCCTGTGCCTATGCGACAATTACCCCTTATACCCCAGTATCGCGTTAAAGCACCGTCGTGCGTCTCTTTATAACTAGTCCTTCCGCTGCATTTACTCCCGCCGCTCTAGAAGTGCTTATACGCGAGACGAGTAATAAGGTTACTGGACTCGGCTAATAGGTTACTTAAGAACTAGTATAATAAAGCTATATAATCGCGGCTTTAGAATAGCTGATTATTTACAATATAGGTATAGGAAAAGGGTTTAATAGTAAGGCCAAAGGTAATGCTAAGTAGTAGCGTATTATCGCTACGCCTTCGCTACCGTATTACTAGCCCTTAATCTAGTATAATAATTCTACTTTATTTATTATAGAAGTTTAGTCGCTATTCCTTTTTACCTTAGTATAGCTTTGCTTTTATAAAATCCCTGAAAGGGCGGGGCCAATACTCCCTAAAACGACGTTATTATTTGTATAAGCTTATATTCTCCTTACTTTAAACTTTTCTCCTCATAGTTTACTCTTTTAATAGTCCAGTATTTAAGTATACTAATCCGTACTTAGTCTTAAAGTTATGTAATGCCTTAGTCTCTTCTAATATATTAAAGGACTTTCAGGTAAGCCCCGTATAACCGGACTATTATACTAGTATTTTATAGAAAGACCCGCGACCTCGCCGCTTAGTCCTCACGTAAAGGGTATTCTATATTTCCTATTTCTTTTCGCTATTTAGGCTATCCTAAAGTTAATACAGGCTAGGGATTATCCTAGCTTTACCCTGGTAAGGGGATATTATTAGCCTATTGGAGTAAATTACTATAGAACCGTGGATATATCTATAAGGGGATATTAAGTTCGATAATATATAGCTTAATAACCTTAATAACGCGATATTTCTAATATAGTTAGTCTACCTTATTAAAGGGTTAGAGTATACTATAATTCAATATCGATAGCTATACGAGGTAACTCCTCTTAAACCCCTTTATAAGGGCTCCCCGTGTATTAGTGGATTCTTCGTCTTATAGTTACTTTAAGACTATGACTGCCTATATAAACTCTATGCCTTATTAGAGTGTACTTAGCAGTCTATAGCCGGAGCAGTCTTTAGCGTGTATTAGCTCTAGTATAAGGACTTAAAAGGGCTTAGTATAGAAGCTATACTTAAGGAAGAAAGGACTTAAGTATATAGTCAAGCTTTAGCGGTTATTTAGCGCTTACTACGCGGCTAGTAATAGCCTCCCTTAATACATTTACGACTAATATATAAAGTTTCTAAGATAGGCCTATACCTCTTACTTTATTTATTTAAGGCCGCCGTTTATTTAATAGTAGTATACTATGGTAAGTTATTCTTTAATTCCCGCAAGCTTATAGACATAGAACTAGAACTTCGTAGTCCAGTTTAACTATTAATCGCTTATAATTAGTAGAGGTATACCTTAGAACTGGAAATAATAATATACGAACCGGCGTATATAGGCCTTAGTATTTCTTATCTCTATGACCTTAAGAGTCACGGTCTTAGTAAGCCTATCGATAATAACCTAGAGGTATATACCTAGCGCCGGAGTTATTCATAGGTAGTAAATTAGTTATAAAGTCTATAAAAGGATAACCACGAATACGTTAAGGAATCGGTAATAGCTTAAGTAGACCTTATTTCAAGATTCTTTACATATTACCTTTACTCTATATGTCGTAATTCCGTATAAACTATTATATACCCTTAATCATGTTAGGCTAAAATATCTACGTGCTATAAAAGCTATTATACTATCCTTACTAGGGTATCCGCTAATCACTAAGTGGTGGATCGCTTATATCACGCGTCTACGTGGCGTATTAAGTGAGTAGTTATAAGCAGTGGAAAGGTGGTAGCGAGAGAGTCGGAAGAGAGCAGGCATGGATTAAGTGGTGGTTCCCGCTAGTCTGAATATAGGTAGTTCTAAAGAATTAGAATAAACGCTACCCTCTTTATGCTAAATAGAGGGTATTACCCGAGCCCTATATACTCCTATATTAATCCTAGTATAGTTAAACGAATATCTTAAACGGATATCTACGCCTAAGCCTAGCCTACAGCTCTATATAGTAGTATCGGCCTAGGGTAGCCGTGACGACGTTAATACGGGAGCCCGGTATAGTCCTATTATAGTCCTATCCTTAGTCCCCTTATTCGTATACTATAGCTAGTATCAGTATCTCTTTAATCTATTAATCTATTTAATATACTATTTTATAAAGTACAGCTTATTTCTTAATATAGCCTCTATTATTTATATAAAACTTGAGATAAAATTATAATACTCTTTGTATAATTAACCAAGTAGTATACTATAAGGCTAGTATATAATATAAATATATTATAATAAATCTTTAATTTATAGAATCTTTATATAAAGCCATAAACTATAATATAAACATGCCTTACTACGAATATAGGGCTCTTTACCCTCTCTGCTTTTTTCCCTCCTCGTATAAGGTAGGTAGTCTGAAGGTCTGTGCGTCACTTGCTATGGCTGCCTGTTAGAATCCAGTGGTTTCCAGATCCGTTGTAATTACCTTGGGAACCCGTATCGTGGCAGCGGGACCACACAAAGCGTCTTCAATGTGTATTTCAATGTGTATTTTCTCCCTCAGCTCTCCTGTACACACATCCGCCAGCCTCAGTTGTTCCTTGGAGATGTTTATTAAGTGACAAGTGGGAGTATTTGCTGAGCTAGATTTCCCGATCTGATCTGTTGAAAGCAATCCGTCTCGTCTTGACCACATACGGTACTTTTCTCTTGTTTCTTCTTCAGCCACAGCCTGTTCGTCGCCCTGACACAGTTATACCTAGGCACTCTATTATTGAAGCTTACCTGTTGATCCCTAATACACTTCCAACCACTCCGGTCGATCGGAGACGATGCAATTTTGCGGTAAAATGGATCAGCAGGCACCGGACTCCCGCATGGTTCCTGAAGAACCTGGTCCCCAGGCTCGGCTGGAAGCTGAATTCTTCGCCAACGCTCTGGACGACTGCGTGGCTGCTCAAGGCACAACGGGGAAGAGACGCGAACGACTCCTCGACCTTGTCGACACGTTCTACAATCACGCGATATGCAAGTTGGAGCAACTCGGTACCCGCCCCTTGGGTGCTCGGTCACACAGTGCAATGGAGGTCGACGAAATCGAGGGAGAGGTTAAGTCTCTGAACGTGGATCAAGAAACACGCCGGTGGGAATTAGAAGCTCAAACATGGGATCTCATGCGTCGAATCCTGCCATTGAGATATCCCGAGAAAACGAAAAGTACCACTCGGGAAATCAGACCAGTCGCAGGACCACACAAGACAGACGACTTGTGGAACAGCTTTATTCTAGACTCCCGCCCTGCTGTCGAGCGAAGAGCGGTATTAGAATGGCTTCAACATAGTGCAACACGGGGCCCAGACGTCGACGATGTGGTTCGAGAGTTGCAGCAGAACGCGGAGCGCGGTGAAATCATTGCTCATGGCTGGATCCATACACGCACTGCTTTGAAGCTCCACAAGGAAATTCTGGGAACATCATGCCCTCTCAATCCTCGAGCGAACCACGTTTCGGCGTCCCTATCCACCTCAGCTGGCGCTCCTCTGGTGTCACAGCTAGACCCTGACGCTGTTTTGCGCCAGGGTCGTCAACTACAGCCGCAAGACGAATATTTCGAACGGGCCATTTGGACAGGGTGCTTTCAGCTACTTCGAAGAGGCTGTAGCCTTGACACCCTTCGGGATTGGTGCGCGGAGAGGACAGAGACTTGGCGGGCAGTCTCCATGTCGGCTTTCCCGGTGCCTAAGAATGGTCCACAGTCAGACAGCAAACAAGATGCCAGTGCTCTAGCTTTATGGAGACGAATGTGTTTTGCGTTGGCGCGTTCCGGTGGCACTGATGAGGTTGAAAAAGCGGTCTACGGGATTCTGTCTGGCGACATCCAGAGCGTGGAGAAGGTGTGCAAGACATGGGATGACCTCATGTTCATGCATTACAATTCACTCTTACGCAGCGAGTTCGACGACTATGTCCTAAGTCAATGCCCGCCCGAGGTATCGGCCAGTATGCGCCAGTCGTTTGCCATTTTCGACGCAGTACAGTATCATGGGGATGCAGCAACCGCCGATAAGCGACTTGTGAAGTCGCTATCGAACAATCCCCAAACACGTGGAGAAGCCTCCGAGCCCTTAAAGATGCTACAGTCGGCCGTCATCTGCAATGAACTTAGCCAATACTTCTACGATCAGGGGCTCGTTTTGAGCCAGACTCAGAGAGTCTCTGGCGAAAAGGACGCTCTCGAATCCGGCAGGCGCATAGATCGCCTTGGTCCAGGCGACCTCCGTATTGTTGCCCACCTCCTTATCTTACTCTCAACTTTTGACAAGTTATGCCTCTCTTCATCTCAGCCGCCCACCCTGAGTTCCGAAATTCACCGAAGGCGAGTGCAGGAAATGATTATTAGCGAATATGTCTGCACACTTCGACTTGCCGGGCTGGAGGAACTTCTTCCCCTATATTGCTCGAACTTAGAGGTGCCTCATGCGTATGAAGTCCTGAGCAACAACTTCCGCCACATCACGGACCGCGATGCCCGGCTCAATCAACTAAAACTCATTGAAAAGTCGGGCCTAGATGTTCTCCAGTTCGTCAAGGTTCAGACTCAGCTCGCGTTTGGCCGTCTGGAGAAGAGTCTGGAGTCGCTGCGCGGCCGTCCTGGTGTCTTTCGCATCATGGAAGACGGACCTACGTCGCCGAAGTACGGACGACTTATCAAGACCGATTTTTTTGGGGAAGACCCTGACGCAGTGGATTCCGATCACGAGAATCTGATCTGCTCCTTGGAATGGCTGCTTCTTGTCGACAACGCCTGGCCCCACATGTTCGGGATTGGCGTCAGAGCGTATAAATGTTTTCTCAGTGTGTTTGGTCTTTCTAGACACTACTATATTCGTCTAACTAACATGCTCTTAGGAACGATGCATTTAAACGCGGCAAGGCAACTAGCAAATCGTGTCTCTTTTCATCAAATTCTACAGCAAAGACTCGATCCCCGTCTACGAAACGATTTGGAACTCTCGTGGGTTCTCGAGGAAGATGAACATTTCTGGGCCACGCAGCTCACATCGACAGACAACCAGGACTTGTCTCCGGTACGACTTGTAATCGAAGCCAGGATATTGCGTGACTTGGAATATCTCGTTAGAACTCTTGACACCATGGAGACTATTGCCGCGTTGACGGTGCTTTCCAGAGAGTACGTAGGGCCAGGAGTGTCTATTGTCCTTCGAATCTTATTGCTAAATGCGTGCAGAGATCCATCGGCGAGACGAGACTTTTGGACACAGGTTGGCAATGAAGTGAAGAATGCCAAGGAATTCGTCCAACCACTCTTGAACGGCTGGCTTCTAGCAAAAGGTGAGTGGATGCATTCTCGCAGGTCTCCCAGACAGCTTTCTTCCTGGGCTAATTCGTAAAGTAGGAGAGGACCCCGATCTTCAGGCCATCAGGGAAACTTACCTTCCAGAAACCGTTCTAGCTTATATCAGTACCTTGCACTTCGCGGGCACGTGCTTATTCAAGGACAACCTACTTGAATGTATGGATGTCGCTGCCGCTATCGCCGGGAAACACTCTGACATAGCCGCTTGTTTTGTCAAGTCGAGACGGATACATGATCTTGTCGAGGTCTTTTCTTCCTGCAGTAAGGCTCTTGCTGTCTCAGCAGGTGAAAAAAAGGTCACAGGATCTACGAACAAGAGAATGCGCGAGCTGGGATGGTCTCGAGATTTATGGCGGGTGAATTCGTGAGAACAACTACATATCGGCTAGGCCTCCACGGATTATCGACTTAATCACCTGTTTCCTTCTAGTCAGTTTGTGTGCCTACATAGAGGTAGATCGAAATCAGAGTGAGATCCGGGATTACATCGGTTTACTTCTGCGTCCTACTCCATGTACCAGAAACCACCCTGAGCTCTATTCTCGCTTACTGTCAGAACATAAATAAGGGACGCGGAATTGTGTATGTATTCGTCTAAGTGAAGTTTGTGATACTTTATGGGGATGTCTAACTATAGGGAAAAACAAGAGGAAATAAGTGTGGATATCTAGGAATAAGGTACTCTACACGTCTGATATAATATAGTTTATTATACCTTAATAAGGTGGCTATAGGTATCTAACACAGCCCCTCTAGAACTATAGGATTAATCCTAACTATTCTGTTTATTAAATCAAAACTTACAATCTAGGGTAAAATAGGCCTAGATATTAATTAACGGCGTTAAGGGCGTTAAAGCCAAAAAGCAGTCAAAAAGTATTAAAAATAGTAGCCTAAATAATAGTCTATAAGGGCATAAAAACACTTAAAATAACGGTCCAATTAATCGTTTTTATTTAATCAAAACGTAATAGAAGGACGTCGTCCCTGTTAATTACTTTAATCCTATTTAGCCGGGACCTCTATACTAAGCAGATATATAAACTCCCTCTGTTTTTACGGTAGGAGTACCCTTATAAGGCTATCGCTAACTATATTATTAGTAGCGATCTAATTAATTAACAAGGGCCTTTTTTAAACGGTTTATCTAATCTAAACAGGGTGAATATTAAAATACTTTAATTTCGAGGTGACCTACGGCCTAGGGGATTCTAGTAGCTGCTTAGTTTATTAATTATCGTAGTATACTATTAGTAGTTCCTTCTTAAAGGTAAGGGTAAGGTCCTTTATTAAACGACTTATCGCGATATACTGCCTGGTAGTAGTAGATAGTGCTATAACCTAGGCCTTAGTATAAGAGGTTATAACGCTTATTTACTTATTTACCTTTTAGTTTACAGAACCCCCGACTAACAGGGTCGTATACGCTTATAAACTATACCTAGTCTTACCGTTATCCGTAAAGCGGCGTTAGAGGTATAGAAGAGTATAGGTTTTTAGTAGTCTTTACGTAGTCCGAAGTAGAGGTATAGGGCTTTTATTAAGCCGAGGTGCTTTAAGTACCTACCCGTAGCTTCGTGATGTTGTTTTAAAGAGTTAGTGCTAAATTCGGTAAGCCTCGAAGCGGCTTAAGAGATATTAGGCCGGGTCTAATAGGTAGCGTAATTAATAGAACCAACCTGCTAAAGATATAGACAGATTAACTTTTCGGAGGCTTATTAGTTACTAGGCTCTAGTATATTAGGATCAGAAAGAGGGCTTTTACCCTATGACCTCTATAAGTAACCTGTAACGCCTTTATCTTATCGGTGATATAGTTAATAAGCGATAACTATAGTTTGCATTATTAATAATCGCGTTCTGCACGGATTCTAAGGAACCACTTAATTAGTCCTAGGTCCCTGATTTAAAGGCTTTTCTATATCTTTTTCATTAGGGTATTAGCTATACATTTACATTGCTTATAGTAGATTAGGCTAATATCGTTAACGTAAATAAAGGTAATCAGGACTTCGTTATTAAAAGCGTAGTCGCCTTTGGTTAAATATTTCAACAGTATTTACCTAGTACGAAAGAGAGCTATTAGTGCTATGGCTTAGGAGATCGCTATAGACTATATAACGCCCGACAGAGCCGTTAAATCCCTTAGCGCTATATAGTAGGGCGTAAGGAATACTTTAAAACGTCCTCGAGTTAATTATCCGCTTTAAGGCCTAGAGCTTACTAGAGTAACTGCTAACTAGGGGGGTCCTTAATATAAATCTCTTTATTAGCGTTAAGCAGGGTATTAGTGAATACGTGAACTACGTTAAGTTACCGAGTCTCGAGATCGAAGTGGGCTATAATACCTATTAGGGACCTAAAGGTCGTTCTAGTAAGGGTGGAGGCGTAGGCGTTAAGGTGGTTATTTAGTTATTAATCCCCTCGAATATATAGGCGTGCCTTAAACTTATTAACGCAACCAGTAGGATCGACCTTATACTTAAGAACCTATTCAAGGTTTAGTGGCCTTAGCACTAATTTAGATAATCCCGAGCTGGGTCTCTATTAATAGGACTATTCCTAGCATGTAAGGGTGTCTATTGACCTAAGCGTGCCGACTTCCTATAAGAGTATGTTAGTCAATTCTAATATATAGGGACTTTTTAGTATTTATGACTGGTTTAGAGGTTCCTTCGGTATATCGCGGCGTAGTAAAGTCTTTTTCGGTATCTTAATCTGATTATAGAGGGTATTAAAGGAAGGGGGGTTATAACGGTTGGTTAGACGCTTACTACGGGTAGGCCGGTCGGTAGCGGTTATCGGAGTAATAGGAGGACGGCTTCTTCTGCTATTAGAAGTAGGTTAGTTAGCTATAGTAGTGGAAAAAGAGGTTTAAAGAGACTTAGCTGTAGCGGGTGGCTTTACTGTAGTAGGAGCCGTAAATACTGGCTTAATGGTAGTGGTTTGATTCCTTTTTAAGAACAGATTAGTTAGAGAATAATAATCCTATCGCGACGTTATCGCCGGTTATAGCCGTGTTATCGGATTGATCTTCGCTATTATCAGGCCGTTTAAAAATAGGAGGTAGATCCGTAGTGTTAGTGGGTGGTGTGGGAGGGCTGTTTATGGTTAATAGAGTAATTATAGGTGTAATTATAGAAGACGTTATAGAAGTAGGTGCCGCCGCAGGCGTGGAACGCGTTATAGGGCTTATTTACCATATTCCACGTGCCTCCTGCTATTATTATTCTTCTGCAGATTCTGTAGTGGTTATTAAACCTGTATCTTTATCTACCCCCCTAGAAGTAACGGTAGTAGCTATTAACTTCTTTGTATTATTCTGCTCTAGTAGTTGTTAAAGTAAAAGATCGGCGACGATAGTAGTAGTATTAAGAGGATCGTGGAGTTATTACTAATCTCTAGGTAGGTTAAGGAGTTCGAAGACCTCCTCTATAACCTATACCTCTATATCGTGATCTTTATATAGTAGTTTATCGTTAAAGGTAACGTTTCTTATACGTAGGATTTCCCCTTATTTTAGCACCTATATCCAATATATATTAGTGCTTTTATAGCCGATTAAATAGCCGATACATATATATTCGGCTAACTTAGCATTATAGTGATAATATTATTAATAGTCCCTGGTTAGTGGATAGGCTATATAACTATACCTCTTTAATTAGCTAGTAATAGGCTTAGTTGGGATCTTTATTAGGTCTTATTCGTTAATCTAATCGTTTGTTTATTCTTTTAAAGACTTCTAGTAGTGTCATATAGGCACACGGACCACGACGTGGTCTATAGGGGATCTATGCCTAACTAAGGGCTTCGGACCTCGGGTATTAGAATATAACAGGGGCGGATACCGGAAAAGACCGGATAGAATCTAAATAATATAGTACCCATAACAGACTCTTCACCACCTAAATTAAGGGTATAAGAGACTTATATAGATATAACTTAATATAATACACACACACGAGATTTCTGCTCTACTAAGATGATTATCTAAGTGCTATTTAACGTGCGATAGTTATGAGCCTGGTTTATAACGCTTAAACGATAGATATTAAGAAGGCTACCCCTATTCTACTATAAAAGTAATTATATTTATATAAGCACTCGTAAATAACTACTATCGATCTAATTAGAGTAATTAAGCTATTAATTAACCTACTAACCTACCTATTAATTAATTAATCAACCGATAAGTAAGTAAAGATATCTTTTAACGTACCTAACAGCGAATAGAAGGTAGCCGCTACTACCCTTATTCACTAAAGGGATTAGGTAGTATAGGAGCGCGCCGTACACGGTAAATCCACCTCCTACTACGATAACTATCTTAATCTAAAGCTAAGCGATAAGGAGGCTAATGCTTACCTCCTCCCTATACCTACGCCGCGTAATATTCGTAAATATAAAGCCCTCGCCGTGGACCTTAACGCGATATAGAAGGCTATAGCTACTCCGTTTTCCACTATCACGCTAGAGGGCGATAAGGCCACGGAGGCCACGGACGCCGCTACTATAGCGGCTATAGCCACTAGTAAGAAGAAGACGGCCGCCCGCTAGAAGGCTATAGCTATAACGAAAGAACTATTAATACGGACGCCTATATCTATTAAGGATCTCTCGAAAAAATAGTGTACGCGCTACTTATAAGATTGCCGTGTATACCGTGAGAAACGGACAGACTATAATGCGTAGTAAAAGGAATTTAATAGGGTACGCTTATATATCGAAAGGACCGTTTATACCACATTACGTAACCTTCTTATATAACTATAGGATAATAACGTAAATAACCTATAAGCCTAGATTACTCTCCTTTACGCGTACGCAGGACTAACCCCTATAAACCTCCGTAAGGAAGCCCTGATTGTATATTAACGATATACTATACCTATAAAGGCTATATGTAAGGATATAGACGGGTAGGTTATAAGCTGGAAAATAGCGATCATACCTTATAAATATATAGGCGTTTTAGAGCTATTAGGCGCGGACTATTAGGCGGAAGACGCGTTAAAAGCTATTAGACCTATTACCTAGGAATAGAGTAATAATTACCTAGTAAATAACTATAATAAGATTACGGAAAATAAGCTAACGATTAACGACTTCGTAAAGGCTTTAAGGGCGGTTCTTAGTAATATAAAGAGGCTATAATCCGCCGTAGTAAAGCCTAGAGCTAGGAGAGACATATTTAATACCCTTAGGAACCTCCCCGATACTAAGGATACTACTACTGCTAATAATAAAGATAATAAGAAGCGTCCTTGTAGTAACACGTCCGTAAAGGCTATCCCTCCCGTAACGAGGAGGCCCTATAAGATATATAAGAGTATCTATACTACCGCCGCCTATTAGTATATAAGGCCGGATATACGCCCTTATAGCCACTATGGCCATAGAGATATTATAAAGGTTATAGAAAAGAAGATACGTAATTATAGTTTTAAAAGCCTCGTGGATACTATAATATAAAAAAGGCGGGAAGCCTTAGGGGCCGCTACCGCTAGTAAGATAAAGGAGGTCTAGGAAGATTAACTCTATAATACTACGCCTATTATAACTACTATACCGTAACTATAAAATCGGGGGGTTACTAGGCCACCCGTAAGTATAGTTCTAAAAGACCTTTCCGTTACCGCGAGTATACGGCTAGGCGTCTACC